ATCTAACGGTTCTGGCCCTCGTGTTAACGACGCCACAATATATAAAGCCAAAAAAGTTCTTAATTTTTTTTATTAATTTCAATATTGCATAATGTATAATAAGGTGCATTTCAAGTCTTTTTTGTCGGGTACCCTCTTATGTGAATGACACATACTTGAACTATTTGCTTCTTGCTAGTAGTAGCAAGTAGCAAATAGTTGGGGTAGTAATGATGGTGGTGGTAGTGGTGTGGTGATGGTGATGGTGGTGTGGCTGCTACTGTGGTGTGTGGTGTGGTGTGGAGTAGTGTTGGGTGGTGTGGCGTGATGACGGTGGTGGGGTGGTTGTGGTGATTACTTCTTTCACCCGTCTCGTTTTTTCGCCAATTGAGTTATGAGATGGAAAGGCGTCACAATCTTAATATAAATATAAATATTCAAATATAAAATAAGAAAACATTAAGGAATAAACTCCCACACAAACATAAGGAACCCATAAAGAAGTTTCACCAAATTCTTACATTTTTAAGACAAACAATAGATTACATTAAAATAATTTTTTTCTTACAACAATAATCAAAATTTTGCACTTAATCTTCAATATAATGAATTGTGACAAAGAAAACCAATGACTTAATAGATGGTCTCATTCTGAAAACTTTCAAGACAAAATTATGTCATGCATTCGCTTTCAATAGAAGAGTCATTAATTACACTTACAAATTTTGATACTTAAATATTTACATACACTTATTACGTGCACATATTCTTCTACACTTTCTCGATGTTTTAGAACAGTTCAAAAATGTTGATGGCACCATCTTGGAATGTCGGTTTCCTAGTGATGCTCAGAGTGTCTTTGCGTTGATATGCTTGATAAATAGCATTGAAGAGTCGTTGGACATCCTCTGGACAAATAGACTTCACAAACCTACAAAAATTTAATATACCTCAGAAGTAAAGACGATTGTTAAAACATTTTCGTTAAAAACCCTTAATACAATAATTAACCCTAACAATATTGAATATCATCATTAATAAACCTCGGTCATTCCTATTTTCCTGAGACTCATTTCCCGGAAAAGTGCGGTGTGGAAGTGGTGTCGAATAATAATTTTAGTAGCGTAGAGGAGCTATGGTTTATGTTTTTATTCAGTCAGTTATTACTTAAATGAATATAGAAGTTTTCTAAAGTTAATCTGGTGTGATATTGATTTTCTATTTACAGTATACTAATATCTGTGTATGGATTATGTATGGCCTGTCTGGAGTAAATGATTGGCAAACTGATATTTATATGTGTTGTTTCCAAACGTGTATATGTTCCTTAATTCTGGTATTAAAAGTTCTGTGTGTTTGACCAATATATTTGGCTTCGAAGTCATGTCAGTTTACTGAATAGACGCCGCTTTTTCCTAAAAGATCTGTGTGTAGTTTGGGGCACAGCATTTTTTGAAGGAATTCCAGGACGGCACAGCAGACGGCGCACCGCACCCAGGCCATTGCCCTCCTCCACCTCACGGCCGGGTACTTAAGCCCCTCGGCTCGCCCGACCCCGCGTAGTCGTTTTTGTGGCTTCCATCCAGCAGGTAAGGAACGGCTCAAGTTACATTTTCATGTTTTCTGTTTTACAAGTTTTCATTTTTCAACTTTAAATTCAATTTCATTCACTTTTCTTGTAGTATTAAATGACTCATTTCTTTCTTTCTTTCCTTCTTTCTTTCTGTTCTTAAAATGTTAAATATTTTTTTAAATGTAAATTATTAGAAATCTTTTTATTATAATTTTGTTTTTTGATTCACGTTTTAATGTTTTTTTCTTGTACTAGTAAGCTGCTGATGGTTAAGCCATTAAAAATTGATAATGTAATAAACAATATTGTTGGCAATTACGACTCATTTATTTCATTGTAAATGCCAACGAAAACTCACCACAATACCAATGTTTGAATGTTAGTATTATAGAAGATCTTTCTGAATTCTTCCGGAAGGACTCTGTCTCCTATGGACAGGGGGAGGGGAGGGATGTGGCTGAGGGGAAGCCAGTTCATTGGAGTCGATCTAATACACCACAATATATCCATTTACGTACGTATACAAGAAAGTGAAAACAAAAGAACTTATTACTTTTATAGTTGTCAAAAATTAATTATCAATAAAAATGCATGGAAGTAGAAAATTAAACACTCCAAGAAGAAAAGCAACTTTTTTACAAATAAGTATTGTGCTACAGTACTACATTAAAACGTCTAAAGCCGTATTAGACATATGTTGTTTAACAATTGTAAATATAATTGTTTCTGGTATTTTTTATTTTAAGCTTCCAGTATAATGTAAAATAAATGTTTATTTTTTCCAAATATTAGAATATGTAATGAGTTTTTATGGATTTACGATTGGTAACAGTTACTAAGCTCATCACATTTATTTTATTAGTAATTAGTATTAATTCATCACAATAGTGTTATCAAATAAATATTCCTTTTTTCATAAAACTAAACATTGCATGTTACACTCTTCACGTCAGCTTATCCTTAATAGCGCAAAATATGTATACTGTGCCAACAGGTCATCAAGTGATTAAAATAAAACTAGTTTCTCTCGGCCACCAGTAGGTTATTACAAAACTTTGTTGCCTATTATCCACACGGCTGACATTTAATTTATTGGTGCCCAGGACAGTTGTACAGCTCGGGTAAAATCTGGACCAACATAATTAAATTGGACGCTTGCATTTTCGCTCTACATAACCGCGGTATGACCGTCGGGACCCACCCCGTCTCTGACAGCACAAATGCGGGCCATGCCGCATTGACAGACTTTAATTTCATCTAACTGAAAAAACTTCGTTATACTTATGGTAATATACACGATAGGTATAATCTCTTATTGAAGTAATATGTTTTACGATATTTATATCGTAAATGTCTATTTAGAGCTACACATTCTTTAATAAAAGAAAATCTACCAAGAATGCCTTCTATTCACATACCTTCTGCAACCTACTACTTTGTCTTCGTTGATTATTAAGAATTGCCGTTGAAACTCAAATTCAACTTGTGTTCTACTGACCAATATCAACTCACAATATTATTATCTATTCATGAGGAGAAAATATTACATCAATACCGTTTCTCATTTTTACTTCTTTCAACAAAATGGAATATACTCCATAACATCTTCACCATCGTAGGTAAACGACAAAATTTCAAAATTAAAATTTTAAAATGAATATAAAAGGCGTCATCTGTGTACGTTTTGATTCAAATTGATTAATTTTGTCAATGAATATTAAAAACTGTAAGTTACGTTTTTTTGGGCTTTTATTTTGTTAGAAACTTGAGGAGTGAATAGTTTGCTTATTTAGACGAGCGTGGCATCATTTCAAATCTATTGTTCCGATTCTTATGCACCTACTAGAGTCTTTTTCGCGAGAGAAAATATTTTATAAGATATTGATAACAACTCTCATTGCTATTTTTTATTCAGATTTCAACTAAAATTAATAAAAGATAGGTAGTTAGGAATTCCAGAATCAATAAAATTACGAAAATAAAACAAAGTCACAAAGTTCTTCTTTAACGTCCAAACTTATAAAAAAATAGAATGAACTTTTTAAAATGTTCGAGTTTGCTCAGAGTACATTTAAAACTCGTATAGTGTACACTGCATAGTATAGTGTAAAAGAACACTTATAAGAGGCTGATCCATCATAAATTTCGAAATAAATCTACCAATTGATTAGGAGAATTTGTTATACCTATGACCACTTTTCATTCTTTTTTTTAGTTTTATATTTATTAACTATAAACACCTCTGCAACATAATGTTTAGCAGTTCAATAGTTTTTGCAGCACAATTTTTTTAGTATTAAATCACATTTGTTTTTAGGTATCTTCTCTAACTCTATAAAATAAATAAATAACTTGAAGGGAAGTAACCCTAGGATCAGTTGTACCTGTGACTGGTGAAAGCTACAACAGCAAATGCTGGTCAAAGGTTCAACACATGCTCACCTTTCACAAAATCAAGAATGTTGAATTTGAGGTTAAGTTTTTGGCAAATTTAATACTAAATATTTCTTCTTGAATATCTCTTGCATTTTGATAGTTTTCACTGTGAAATAGACTAAATAAAATATACTTTATGACACAAAATAATCCGAACCAAATACTTTTGACTGTTGCAAACAGTTTTCACAACAATAATTAATCTTTTCAAATAATGACAAGACTTACAGCATTCTGGGGGCAGGAGTATAAACTATGAATTCCAATTTCTGAAATTTATCAGTAATACGCACTCTGGCAAGGAGTGATTAAAGGTACAGCAGGTCAAAGGTACAACATCTTTCTGTAAAGATGCTCAATACTCACTATAGAGTTATCACGCAAGATACTAAGTATGTAAAATAGGCATGGTGCAAAGAGACAAACATTAACAACGGAGCTAAACACAAAGGACCAAAAGACGTCTGGGGCCAGCGGGTGGGGACGTTGAGAAAGGGCTCAGGGAATTCCATTTTAACATTAAAATACGAAAGTCATAGTTTTATATTGTATTTCTACCATAATGGAAAGAGATCATGATTTCTACAAGAGTGCATATTTTGTTATTGGTGCCATAAAACTTATTGAATTGTGTGACTCACCGTATTCATCTATCAATCTGGCATTCTACGTGACCGTGTTCACCAGTGTGTACGTCTGAGCGTAATTTGGCACAATGTGTGCTAAGTAAAACTACGACAAGCTTTAGATTGTTCCCTGAACGATATGTTTTTTCTATCATGATACACGTTTCGTTCTGTTAAATTGCTTCCAACAACATACATTGTTGTTGAATATTAATGTTCAGTTGTTACGCAGGGACACTAGAAAGCCGTTGCCGTGGATATGTTATAATCAGTTCGCAAAAAGCACGGTCCGAAGAAGACGTACTCGTGCATCAGTCTCTTCGAATTTGTTTTTCTTCGAAGAACTTATCAGGATTTTGCGATTTTATTTAACATATTAACTAAAAATGCGTGAAATAGTTCACCTTCAAGCAGGGCAATGCGGAAATCAAATTGGAGCCAAGTTCTGGGAAGTCATCTCCGATGAACATGGAATCGACCCAACCGGTACCTACCATGGCGACTCTGACTTGCAACTTGAAAGAATCAACGTGTACTACAACGAAGCAACAGGAGGCAAGTACGTACCCCGTGCAATTCTTGTTGACTTAGAGCCAGGCACTATGGATTCTGTTAGGTCGGGTCCTTTTGGGCAAATATTTCGCCCCGACAACTTTGTTTTCGGTCAGAGTGGTGCTGGAAACAACTGGGCCAAAGGGCATTACACAGAAGGTGCAGAACTCGTTGATTCAATCCTTGATGTTGTCCGCAAGGAAGCAGAAGGTTGTGACTGCCTTCAAGGGTTCCAATTGACTCATTCTCTAGGAGGGGGAACCGGAGCAGGTTTGGGAACATTAATGATTTCCAAAATTCGAGAGGAATATCCTGATCGAATTATGGTTACATTTAGTATTGTGCCATCCCCAAAAGTGTCCGATACTGTGGTGGAGCCTTACAATGCAACATTGTCAGTCCACCAACTTGTTGAAAACACTGATGAGACCTTTTGTATTGATAATGAGGCCTTATACGATATTTGTTTCCGAACACTGAAGCTTACAACCCCCACATACGGTGATCTCAACCATCTTGTTTCTGCCACAATGTCAGGAGTGACAACTTGTCTGAGATTTCCTGGACAGCTCAATTCTGATCTCCGCAAGCTCGCTGTGAATATGGTTCCATTCCCTCGCCTTCATTTCTTCATCCCGGGATTTGCTCCGTTAACATCGCGAGGCAGTCAGCAGTACAGAGCTCTCACGGTTCCCGAGTTGACGCAACAGATGTTTGACGCTAAGAACATGATGGCTGCTTGTGATCCTCGTCATGGTCGATACTTGACTGTCGCCGCCATCTTCAGAGGAAGAATGTCGATGAAGGAAGTTGACGAGCAAATGCTGAACGTTCAGAACAAGAACAGCAGTTATTTTGTCGAATGGATTCCAAACAACGTGAAGACAGCAGTCTGTGACATCCCTCCTCGCGGCCTCAAAATGTCTGCTACGTTTATTGGCAACACTACCGCGATCCAGGAACTCTTCAAACGAGTGTCTGAGCAATTCACTGCTATGTTCCGACGAAAGGCATTTTTGCATTGGTACACTGGCGAAGGAATGGATGAAATGGAGTTCACTGAAGCGGAATCGAACATGAATGACCTGGTGTCGGAATATCAGCAATATCAAGATGCCACCGCTGAGGAAGAAGGGGAGTTTGACGAAGGGGAAGGAGAAGAAGAGGAAGGTTGAATGATCCTAACTGAAATCTATTATTTAACGATGATAATCCGAAAGTACATATTTACTTTGTGTATTTAATCCACGTCATTTTGAACCCAATAATGATAACAATTATAATGAATTATCGTCATTGTGTGAAAAATGAGCTGAAGATATGAAGATAGGTAAACTGCATACTGTGATATATATCTATTATATTTACATGTCGTGAGAATTTTTCAACACATTTATAAAATATGTACTACTGCGAATGGACGAATAAAATACCTGAAATGAAAAATTGTATGTTTGCATTTTTTATTGATTGATTTTAAATATTTAAATACAAATAACACGAAAACGTATTTTAACTTAAACAACAGAAAGGCATTAAGGATTTAATTTTAATATATTAGTCGTGATATTATCAGTACTGTAATAGGTAATTTCTTATTGATATTTTTGTAGCGTAATTTTCTCGGGATCATATTAATTTTTGCCTTTAAGATTTCTAATAATTTCTTCCTTTAACCTCTTTGGACTCTGCGATCTCTTCAGGAGACATTGCGTAATGTTTTCATTACAGAATTTTGGTAACAGTGATTTTGGTAACTGTACGAACATGGCAATGGAAATTGTTTCCAAGCAGCAATGAAAGTAGTATGTCAGATCGTGTTTTGTGGTGCAGATCCATGTATTTGCACATTCTCTGAATAAATCTTGAAATATTATGCAATATGAAAATGTATCTAAAACTTGACAACTATTCAACCTTTTGTACGAAGCTTTTGTATTAGAATGTCGTCTTTAGACGACAATGGGCCACAACATGAGCTATTTTTTAACGTAATAGAATTTCACTTGCATTTTCACGATATTTCTGATGTACAGAAAAATAGTTTTTGCAAGACGGGAAAGTGAATGTCGCAGTTTGTAATAATTGTTTTTAGAATAAAATAACGTAGCTACAGAAAAATGAGTTGTCAGCCGACTATTACAAGCAACGCCTCCTGTAATGTAGAAAGCATTTCTCAAAAGCCATGCTGTACAACTTCACAACGGTGGAAGTGGTGAAACAAGCAGTGCTATTGCGAGAGAAGCAAGCTGCTCCCTGTGTTATTTTAAGAATTTATTGATGTTTTGCTTGGTATCGCATTACATATTGGGTTTAAACTCATTCCCTAGTTCAAATGCAAACAAATTTATATAATAATGTTTTAAATAATTTAATTCCAGAGAATTCATTGTAAATGAAATGGTTGGGAATATGGATATAAATAAACGAGAAATATCTTAATATGTATTGAATTTATTTACAACCTATTAACTATTTTATTTTAGTATTTTCGCTGATCATCGTTTATATTTATGGTGAAATTATTTAAAATAATATTTACAAATATTTCAATTGAAACTTTCTGCAAATAGAGAGGACGTGTAACACACTACACAATATTCATCAATTTTGAACTTAAAATTCCCATTCCCGGATGGCAGAAATATATATTTTTGTAATGCTAAAGAATCATTATTACAAATACACATTCTCATTACTTCAAATAAGCATACATTTACATGTTGTAAACATAATTTAACATTTTCAGTAGCTACACATAATCCTCCAGGTTGTAAGCAAGATATTACAGCTCGACAACTTTACCTTTAAATAATACGAGAAGAGGCCGTTGCCTATGTGGTTGAAATTTGGATTCACAGTAAAAATGTTTCTCTAATAAGAAAGCGGCTTTCTCTCTATTAATAAAGCAACTTTTGTCAAAACCTTTATACGGTCTCCTCAAATTGTTAACACTAGAAGGACCGGGATTTCGTTCTACCTACAAGGTGGTATGCGTGTCATTTTGACTCACAACCTATCTTACAGGACCTGAGCATTTAAAAAGAAAATATTTTGTGTTTCTCTCACGTCCTATGTTCTTAAATGGATAAATTAATAAATGTACATTTTTATGAGCATTTTAATTTATTACATATCAAAAAATTTAAAGTTCCAAAACACAAAATTGTAAAAAAACTTTTGCAGTACTTGAAGTAACAGAGACAATACATAGCAATGCATGAAAACATTGATGAATATTGTTAGTTTATGAAAAGTTAATGTGCATTTTAAATTACAAAGGAAAACATTAAACACAGTTTAGGCATATTGGCATTTTCCACAAACACACTTCCCACTCACACAACGCGCAGTGGAACAGAAGGTTATTGCCTTCGCTTTTTCCTCGGCAATACTTACGTTCCAAATGACTAGGCATAGTTGTGCTTTTATCAACCTTGAAGGGGTAGGTTAACCATTTCAAGACAATATTTCATCTTCTATCTTGTGTATAAATTCCATTCTACTTGAATGTTTTTTTAACTTTCTTGAACAGTGCCCGTGCATTTACTGTTGTGATACCTAGAATTTTGTATAAGATGCGAACTGGCGCTCTTCTTGATTCTTCGCGCACTGAATAATACACATTTATGCCTCAATCGTGTGAGCAGCAAATGTTTAGAAGTGGATGTAAAAGCATCTCTGGCGTCAAATCAATCGAAGAAATACAAACAACTCATTTTTAATAACATCCTATCTGCATTAGTAATGCAAGCTTTTTGTATCGTAGATTTGAAAATTGTGTTCAAAAGTGTTTCTTTTATCAGCAGCTTTATGGTGCTTAGAAAAGAATCTTCACTTATATTACTCTGCGTATTTAGTAGTCCCCGGCGCAACAAGAATATTACGTGACATGCATTTCCTGTGGACTAGAGGACCAAGCAAACTCGCCCAATGAGTTCCGTCTGCTGCTTTTCCAACATCCTGGATTATATTCTTCACAATCACCTGTAGCAGTCACAACCCTAGATGACATTATCCTTGCTATATTCTTCCATAGAAATGTCTGCTGTACCTCCACTGTATTCTTCAGTAAGATTTTGAAGTTCATGAAGGATTTATGTTGAGCTAAGTTCATTTTCTGTACTCATTATGCAGTTTCACTTACACTCGTGGCCTGTATTACGTTCTGCACACAAAAACGTCTGTGTAGCAACTACTGTTGATTCGAAAATAACGGGGTGTATCTGGCAATTTATAACTATCAGATCGCTTTCATCCTGCATCGAATTATAAGAAGTCATTAATGGTAATATCAATCTGAAAGTCAGAGATATAATACTTTCTACAAATAACAGAAGTATGAGACAAAAGTGCAATAGCAAAACGTAGAAAAGTGTACTGTGCACAATATGATACATAGCGATCCTTCTAGGTATATCTAATATTTTTGAATTTTATAAAATCCAAAGTATTGGCCTTTACAGCACATTAAGTTCATCCACTAAATAAAGCACTTACCAAGAACAAGTTTTCTAATTGTTAAAACTCGAACAGTAAGTTGTAATATTTATCGTAATTGTGTCATTTCGACACACTATGTCCTTCTAGTGCTAAGAAAACTGACGACATGGTTAAATTGTATCCAGTGTCATTATATTTCATGGAAATAAATACTTATATTCATAGAAAGAAGGCTCTGGCTCACTTTTCGAAATGGACTTGTGTCATGATGTGAACATGAAATATTGTATTGTGGGTTGAAATATATACAATTAATAAACTACTATTAGAAGTTCAGTCACAAGGGAGTTTCACTTATCCGATTAAGTGCTTACACACATAATTAACTCCAATTATTCCATTTTTCAATATAATTAAAATTAATAATAGAAAGTTGTAACTATTGACATGGCAGTAGCAAAAGAGATTTTACTTTTCATATTATTATTTTTAATATGTATTATATCATTAATATTTGTAGTATGCTTTTAAAAAAATTCATGTTGCAGGTCTAGCAGAAAATTTTAAACGATTTCTAACCTAAAATAAGTTACTACATAGTTTTGAAGAGATCGACATTATATTGATGTGCTGTTAAGAAAGAGAAGTCAATAAAGCAAATAAATAAATAAATATGTATAACGTGATATATTAGAATTTAGTTCACACCAACCAAACTCCTTTAGAATTATTAGTTGCGACCATGACTGTCTTAGTTGTTAGACCATGACAGTTTTAAATATTGTTGGGTTGGCTGTATTCATATGAATCAGTGATTCCGAATTAGATAAGGAAAATGTCTAAAACGAACCGAAAAATGGAGAAAAGATTGTCAAAATGACATTAGAATGAAGCACTAAAAAACAAAAAAATGTGTTCGTGTTTTTCATTTGCAGTTTTATTCATGATAAAGTTGGTCCGTGTTCCTCAAATAAGATTGCTTGCGAAAGCAGGCCTTACACCAATAATAAATTTTCCAATAATAATATCTTTCAGCAATTTTTTTTCTATTTCACGCGGACATCTTTAGCAAGAACAAAAAACAGCAATATATTGTCAGAAAGATCTGAGAAAAATCTTTTGAGCAACATATTGTCGGTCGTTTAACATTAGAAGGTTTTGTTGCCACGCTTGGTGATGTCACGAGGAAATTGGCGCGGGAGCGTAAGAGAGGTTATAACTCTACTTCTTCGTATGGCACGTATATACGAAGTCATATGCGTAGTACAGAGAAAGTTATGTAATGCTGCGACAAAAAAGGTAATTTTTTGTCACGATAACGTATTATGTGGCCCTGATACCGAAAAGTAGATAAATCCATTACTAAAATGTAGCACATTACTCTCTCTCTCTCTTTCTAACATGCTATGATGTTATGTTGTCAGATTTCAGAAATTGTGGATCCTTGATACCGAAAAAGGGTCTATTTTTAAAACGTTCGTCCGCCTGTGAACATCAACCTTTTCAAAAATGGCTTAACCTGTAGAGATGATCGTCTTCAGAGATATTAGGTGGCTATAATATGGTTCTTCATACTGATAGTTGGATCGAAGAACGGACTCCGCATTTTTCTGAATACATGCTCTGCTGTGAATTTTTCACTGCTGAGTATGTGTCGTCGTTGACTAGCGAGCTTCTTTGAATCTAGGGTAGGTCCGATAAAGGTGTTCCGCTTTCTCCTTATCTTGAAAAC